AATTTTTACTCTTATTTAATGTTTTTAAAAAGAAGATAGGATTCAAACACTGCCACAAACAGCTGGTCATTTGCCCATGAATTAAAACCTGAGAAAGATGTATCAATATATTTTAGCATGCAGAGAGAAATTCATGCTTTCATACACTGCAATGGCAATGACCACCCCTGCCCTCCATGCTGACACTGCATAGTCACACACCCACTGCCACTTGGCTCCAGGTGTAGGAATTAACAGCATGCAGGAGTGCTAATTAGATCCAATTAATATTCACCTGACCCAATTTGATATCAGATATTTGGAATGAAGTAATTCGAATTAAATAACAAGAGGTTTAGCTTTATATACAATTGGATTTCACTGATAATATTTTTTCCAAATGAAACTCTTTTGGAGAAGAGGAATGCACTGACTAAAATAAATAAACGGTAGAAATGCTGTAATTCAACCTTCCTAAAATTGTGATAGTTTCAAAAAACGTGATATTCATTTATTACTCTGCTGATTTCCTTATTTTTAAATTACTTTGCTGACAGTAGAAAAATAATCTTAATTTTATTTCTGAAAATCTGAACTTCCTTTTGCTCATTTGATAAGGATATTGGAAGAGAAAACTACTAAATAAATTCATATATGCAAAAATTTCATCTAATTTTCACTTAATTTAAATGGCAACCAGATATAAGAATATCTTATTCATTTTATGCTGGAAAGACAGTTAACAGAAATTCATATTCATTCACATATGTAATTTATAGGGTTCTGCAGCACCAAAAATAGTCCTATCTTCTAATACAGAGCACAGAGCATATTAAGGAAACTTTTGGTATGATCTATACCAGATAGCCTATACATGGTGGGTTCCTGACACTGGCATGAGATCTTCGTCAAAGAGATATTTTTCAAGAGATATCGTTCATGAACCCTCAAATTACAAGCAGCCTTTCCCAGGTATTAAATAATGCATATTCATTAGTAGATGGTTAAACAGAATTCCTCAAGCAGGGAAATCTATCAAATTATGCTGAGAAATGGTTGAGAATGAAAATAAATTAGAATACAGAAATAGAGAACTTCAACTTTTGTGTAGAGAGTAGACAAGATGATAATGAAGGAAGATTAACAGGGAGAGAGTTTATAATTATGACAAAAATTTCTGAGGCAGCCAGAAAAGCACATGGCATTAAAAAGAAAAATAAACAACACTCCTTGTAGTTTGTCTTTTATTCTTCTTGAAAGTTAGCCAACTATCCACTCCTAATTAAGGAGTGAGCTTCTAATCTGTACTCAGGAAGGTACCTAATTAGTGGGTCCAGTCACAGCAACAGACCAGGCATGCAAGGGGTGACAAAGAAGAGCTGTGACTTCACAACTGGCATCTGACCTGATCCTCTCAATTTCATCCTTTCAGCTCCATGCTCTTATTGTTTTAAAGGGCCAGTAACACTGTGGCACACTGAAACAATCACTGGCATTATATAGTTTAGAATGATTCAAAGTTCTTGGAACAATTTTCAAGGGAAAAGAAGGAAGAGATACAGTGTAAGAGCAGAACAAATACAAGTTGCATATGGAATAGAATATGCACTATATCTTAGAAAGCAATATTCATTCCCCACAAGCACAGGATCTCAGGAGATCTGACACTTGCCAAATATACTAGAAAAAAGTCAACTCTTTTATTTCCTTACCTCCAGTGATAAAATACAGCATAAAACTAAATGGAGTATAAGCAGTTTTGGATTATTTAATCGTAACACTTCAAATTGATGGTGATGCATCCATTAGTGTGAACGGAATATGCTTTGAATTATAAATAGAATAGCACATAAGTAATATACAATGTAAAACGTCCATGGAATGAATTTTAAAGGGAAAGCAGCTAAGCAGAGGCCATAACGAAAATAAAGTTAATACATATAACACAATCTATATTTGGTTATTGGTTAAAGTTTGACTTGCTGTTGTTATTGAGAGGGTAAAACAACACACACACACACACACACACACACACACACACACACACACACCAAGGATATTAAAGTTAGATATGGTAGCACACACCTTTAATCCCAGCACTGGGGAGGCAGATGCAGGCATCTGTGAGATCAAGATCTAGGCCAATCTGGTCTCTAAAGCAAGTTCCAGGCCACCTGAGTCTTCTGGGATAAAGAAAGAATGAATATTAAAATGATCAGCCTGTATTCAACATACAAATTTCAAAATTTTAGAAAGAGAATATAAAAGGCATTAAAATTGTATGAAAATTAGGACAGAATCATAATCTGATTAATAGATCTCCATAAAACAACAGATCTTTTTCTATTTTTTCTTTTAGATAAATGAATAATTTTAGCATTTAATTTTGGCTCTGAGTCACTTTTAGAAACTGACCAGGAGTTCCCTTGATCTGATAAACTCAGCAAGCCAACACAGATGGCTGCCATCACCCCTGTTCTTCATGCATTAGTGCTATCAGCCCCCAGATCTCATTACATGGCTGCTGCCCAGGCAAACACCACAGACCTTCTTGTCGGCAGTGTCCCACTTATGCAGTGTGCATGACATTGTTTTCCCCCGGTACTGGAGGTGGCCTCCTGGCTAATGTTGTGATCTAACCCAATGCTAGTAACTTCATTATTGTATTATTATCCTATTTAACACTTGCATCCTTTATCTAATAAACCTAATTTTTTTTTGGTCTTTTTGAAGCAGGGTCTCCCTATAAGCCCCAGCTGTCCTGGAACTCACTATGTAGACCAGGCTGGCCTTGAACTCACAGAGATCCACCTACCTCTGCCTCCCAAGTGCTGGGACTACAGGCGTGTGCCACCATGCCCAGCTAAACATAAATATTTTAAGAAAAATTAAACTAAATAACAAGTACTTGGCAATTCAGTCTCTAATGCTTTGGGATAGTCTTTCTCATTTAGAATCAGAAGCGTATTACATAGGTTATTACTCCACTACAAGACTCATCACACAAGCTTTCAGAGCTTTACATATCTAATTTGATACATTATTCTACTCGATATAGGAATAAATCTTTCCTCTAATAAAATTTCAGTTCATTTTTAAGCATAACTTAAATTTCTTTATAACAAGTCTATAAGAGAAAAAACAACTCATAAAAAGGAATAATTGGTGTTATATAAATCTAAGCATGATTGAACTGTGATTATAGAAAATACTTTTCCTTTGTATTCGGTCTTGTCATTCCATTTTTAATTGACCAATGTAATCTTAAAACAAATATTAATATAAGGCATTTTTATGGAATGTTTCTTCTTTTGAATAAGTAGCTGTGCTGGATAGATTCAGTTGTCAACTTGACACACCTCTGGAGAAGGAACCACAACTAAGTAATTGCCTCCATTGGACTGGTATGTCTGTGTCTGTGGGGCATTATCTTGATTACTGAGCCATGTGGAGGTCACAGCCCACTGTTGCAGGTGGTCCTTGTTTGTATACAAAGGCCAGGGAAGCAAAGAAGCAGCATTTCTTTACGGTAAGAACATAGGTTCCTGGCCTGAGCTCCTTGGCTTCCTTCCTTGATGAACTGTAAGCTGAAGGTAAAATAAACCCTTTCCCCACCAAATTGGTTTTGATCTGTGTTTTTAATCAAAGCAATAGAGATTTAAAGAAACACATTAGAAATATGGAATAAATAAAAATGAATCAATGATATGAGTAAACATAGTTCTCTGTAATCTAAATTTTGCAAGATTTAGAAAACTTCTCAAAAACAACAACATAAGATAGTGGAATTAAATTTAGTCTGAGCAGAATGGAACTTTTGCTTTAAAAATCTCAGTTGACCTCTGCAGATATCTAACATTGGATGGGCTACCTAACTTCTTTAGGTCTTTTTTCCATCATATGTAGAATGAAGAAAATGAAAGTACCCACCTCATAGAAATGTCATGAAGATCAGCATGGAAACACTTTAAAGCACTGTAGTGTGTTATGAAGGCTCCAGAAGTTCAGTGAAGTGAGTGACTTCTACTACACCTAATTGGATTAACCTTTGACTCCTCAAATTCTATTGTTAGATGAAGGAGAAATTTGATGTTTCGGCAGGAGGACAATACAATTAAGGCTTCCTTTATCTCCTTACATCTGTCTACAAGCAGTTATTAGTAATACTGTGGATAAAGGACAATTAAACAAATGCACAATAAAATTAGTCACAAAAATTTGAGGCAGTCAACTGTATACAAGAGTTCTGTTTATACTATTGGCTATCAAATATATGAACATGCACTATTCTTAGGACTGAAATATACAATGTACATATTGAAAATGTAGTTTCTTGTTAAAAAAAAAAAAGGTAATCCGCCTCTGAGTCTTCATTGATTTTTCATCCTTTTGCTGATTGACGGTGTTCATTCAGTGTTGATGACTATTGTCTAGTTGGGCTGGTGATTTCTGACAGCTGAGATGGCTGCCATAACATTAATTGTAAGTAATGATATAAGTAAACATAACCCATTAAAGATTAAAGGTTGCAACTTTGATTCACCTTTTCTTTCACCACAGATTACTTGGTAGCATGCCATATTTTTTGCCAACATTTTACCCACAGAGGAACTTCCTTAAAAATTCAACTGAATCCTTTCAAACCTACAACTTCTTTATCACCTAAGCTAACCTTATCTATAATCAAAATCATTTGTGCTCACTTTAAAAGGCTTCACACCTTCACAAATGTCCATTATTAAAGACTACTTTCATTGCTCACACATGGAAAGTAAATTCTCATGTATTTAATTTTATCATGAGTTTGCAGCAGCAGTCACACGTAGTCTCCATTGCTGAATCTAGCATTTTTTTTCAAATCTGCTTTTACTGGCTCCATTGGCTTTTTTGACCTCTGAAAGTTACCCATACCAGTTGGAAACTTCTTACAGACTCTTGATAAATCTGATGTTTTGACTTCCTCTTATGAATCATAAATGTCTTTTCTTTTCTTTTCTTTTTTTTTTTTTTTTTTTTTTTTTCCATTTAAGAACTACCTCAGTAATCCTTGGACTCAGAAACTCCAAGCTTTGTCTGTCTGATGAATTTGTTACTTCTGAAGCTCTATAGCCACAGGACCTTCATAACCTTGACTCTATTGCATAGTGCCAAGAGGATGGGGCTTCAAAGGAGGGCAGCTTTTCACTTCCTGGTATTTCAGTGCTGCAGAGATAAGAACCCAATGAATTAAGCTAAAGATGTAAGTATAGGGGTGGAAGAACAGATGCACATGATGGGGTCACATATCACATATGTGCACACATGACATCCACACTCACCATCATCCTACCCTCATCTTCTATGCAACACTTCAACACACCAGTCCACTTAGAAACCCAGCCATGGTCTTGCCTTTCTGCTATCACTGAGGAGAATGGGGAAATAATCATCTGTACCAGATTGGCAGATGTTTCAAATATTTAAATATTTTATATTTATCTCTTTTCAAAGCAATTTATTAATTTCACTAATATACATATATTGCCTTAATCTAAATTTTTAAAAATTTTTTTTTACAATTAAAGTTACAGTTTTAACAATATGCAAAATATTACAGTAATTCAGATTATATGGCATAATGATTACAGATTTGA